CCGACCCCGCGCGGCCCCGGGAGCCCCGAGATGCCACGTTGGTTGCGGAGCGCAAGCGACCGCAACGCCTCTCCGGGCCTCCAGAGCGCTCCCTAACCCCCGCTCTCACAGAGGCGCCATGGGGGACTCCCCCCCCCACCTGCTCCCTTCTCGCCGGGATGGGTGCCTGCAGGAGAGGGGTGGAGGGGACACCTGTCCAAACAGCTGGCGTCACTGTCCTCTGCTAAGTCTCCTAGTGCTGGCAGCTTTCCGCAGAACTTTCACCGTTGTAATGTTACAACAAGAATAAAACAATAGTATTATCTTATTAACGTATGCCTCCTCCACGAGGCTGGAAGGAGCTAAGGGCACCGTGGTTAAGTGCCCCCGATGCTCACCGCGCCCCTAAAGATCCCAGCCTCGGAAACCCTGTGTGGCAGGCAGACTTCATAGTCGCCAGCCACCCAGTGGCAGTGGGTTTGGGGTTTAGGGGTTGCACTAAGCTATGAGCTATCTGATGACAGAAATCTGTGTGGCTTTGTCGGGTGTAGCGTCCACGCTTTCTGGTCGCATGATGTTGCAGCTGTGGGGTGGCCACACGGAAACCTCCTTGAACATGCATAGGGGCTGCTCATGAGGGTCATTCACCAGAACCAACCTGGGCCTACTCATGGAAGCAGAGGAGCCGACCACTGAACCACTGCTGCCACCCAGCCCCATGGAACATGTGATAGGTGTTTCATAAACAGGTTGTTTGCATGAATGGGTGAGCTCTTCGGGGTTGGGCTCTTTATGGTCCCTAGAAATCCCACTGCTGAAGTGTGGTGAAGAGAGCAGAGGGTGCCCAGCTATCAATCACTACAGTGTCTGGGGTCTTAAAGGCTTATTTATATTCAAACAAGCAGCCATCTAAGGGAGGCATCAACTAAGTCCACATGGAAGAAGCACAACAGCTTATGTGATCCAAAGATGATGGTAACGAAATCCAAGTGTGATGAAGTAAAAAAGTATCTGAGTTAAAATTGTAAATACCCAATTTGTAGCAGGCTCTGGAGGACAGTGGGAGCCCAAAATCCATCTGCAGAGTATCAAGTCAGATTAAGCCTCGGGCAGATCCCCTCTGGCCGCAGGAAAGGGAAAGCAACTTTACTATCAAACAGATCATTCTAAACTTGATTATGATGGATCAAACCATGGTATAATATGATACTTGGTCAGTTGACCTCCCTCTTGACCCAACCTGTATTTGCCCTAGCTGAAGTATTTCTCACCTGTTCCAGGACAGAAATTTCTTCTCTGGCCTTTTAAATATTGACAGTAGTCTTTTGTTTATTACACTTTATTTGCATTTTTATCTTTCTATTACTATTATTTTCATCTTGCCATTTTGTTTTGTTCCTGTTTCTTATTATTTCTGTAGGGCTTCCAAGTGTGTTAGTCAAGCTTTCTATTTAGAGGTTCTGAAAAGATAGCATAGCAGTGTGTAACAAAAAAGGCCTGATTTGTGGCAGATGGGGAGCTGGTTTTGCCACCACAACAATGCACCTGTTCACGCAGTCATCTCAGTACACCAGATTGGGGGGGGGGGGGACAGCATACCTCTCTTGCCCCGTGAACCTTACTCACCTGACCTCACTCCACGAGACTTCTTTTTGTTTCCAAGAATGCAGAAGGATGTGAAAGGACAGTGATTTGATGACATAGAAGAGGTAGAGAAAAAAATGAGGCTCACCGAGCAATTTAGCTCTCCACCCTTCAATTAATCCCACATGTGTGTATCGGCCAGATTAGCATAATAAACCTTAACTATTTCAGTCCCCCCAGCCTCCTGGCCCCCTCCGGAGGGAATTACTGAACCCTATCAAGGTTCCTACGCACCTGGTGGCTTAGTGGTTAAGTGAAAGGCTTCATGGTTTGTACTCACTGGACACTCCTTAGGAGAATGATGCGGCAGGCTGTTTCCATAAAAGATTTACAGCCTTGGCAATCCTCAGGGAGAGTTCTCCTTTGTGCTACAGGACTGCCATGAGTTTGAATGATGGCAGTGGGTTACTAAAGTTCCAAATGGCACCGGTGGTTTGTGGCAGCTACTAGCCTAAAGGTTGGTGGTGGGATTCACCCAGGGAAGCCATGAAAGATCAGTTCTAGTGTTCCCTGCCCGCTCCTACCTTCATTGTTTGCTCTTCAAATCCTCTCGCCCTCTACACCTCACATCCCCCCTCACCCCCCAATAACCATTGTATCAGTTACTATCTCCATTTATCCACTCCTGCTGGGCTCTCAGGTCTCTTGCTCTCTGATGCAAGGTCAGGTCAGACCAGGGTGCAGCTGCCTTAACCAGTTCCCTGCTTCAGCTGGCAAGGCTCACGTCTTGCAAGACATACCTGAAGAGAAGCCACATGGACCTACCCCAATGCAGCCCTGGGTGCTGGAACAGCTGCATGGAGCCCCTGCCAGCACTGAGACGCTTACACACTCGCTGATTCAGCTTTCTTCCCGCAGTCGGCGTCGTTGCGTGTGTTTTGTGGAATGGAGGAGGACTTTGTAGATTGGTGTTGGAGCTATGGGCTGATGTTGGACTTATGGGCTTGGACAGCACTGGGTTGGGATGCTTTCTGAATGTACACGTATCCTTTATATAAAACTCTCTCTGATATACATATGCATTTCTGTGGATTTGTTTCTCTAGTCTACGCAGATTCACACAGGGACAGGTATACATGATGTTGCCAAGTGGCCTGAACCAGTTTGGCTGTTCAATGATTATGAGTTCTTTTAGTGACTTTGGGAGATGGTGTGTCACTGGGCCCAGATTCAACGGGAAGCAATCCTTACACCAAATGCTGCCAACCATGTCATGTTTATTAGCAAGTAGACAGGTGACAGCCGGACTACCTATGCTTATCACTTGAGGGTCAGGAGTTCCACTTCGCTCTCATGTGAAGGGGTCACACCAGCTAGGTTCCAGGCCTCCACATGATTCTGGAGGCATTAGGCTGCTGGGCTTCCAGGACCAGGGCCTGCTCCCTCCTTCTAACTAGCTGCCTTACCATCTCTATAGGATAAATGTACCTCACATACGAACCAGCCACCTAGAGCAGTGGTTCTCAACCTTCCTCGTGCTGTGACCCTTTCATACAGTTCCTCACGTTGTAGTGACCCCCCAACCATAACATTATTTTCGTTGCTACTTCATCACTGTCATTTTGCTACTGTGATGAACCCCTGTGAAAGGGTCGTTCGGCCCCAAAAGGGGTCACGACCCACAGGTTGAGAACCACTAACCTCGAGGGTGCAGATTAAAGTTGACCCTGTTTGCTCTCGTTGGTGGCGCTGCTTGTCAGGATGTCCCTTCTGACTCGTGGCGAGCCCGTGGTGCAGTCGGACTCTATGGAACTGTGGCGTTATGGGAACTCTGTGGAGTTTCGACACTTAGAGTCAGAAGCAGGTCATCAGGCCGTAACCAAGATGGCTCTAGGTGGGTTTGAAACATCAACCTTTCAGTCGTCCAAGTCCTCAACTACTTGTGTCACCTCTACTGTGAATTAAAAACAAGCACACAGAAAACCTCAACTTACCGGCATCGAGTCAATACGGACTCATTGTGGGCCTATAGGACTGGGTAAAAGTGAACCCATGGTTTCCCGAACTCTATAACTCTATACAGGAGTCGGAGTCCGCAGCTTTCTCTTCTGCTGTTTATGCTGAAGCCTTTTCATTCAAGTACTCCAGCCCGCAGTGCAGTGCATGCACAACAGAGAAGTGAGGGCCAGAATCCAGTCAACGTCTTTTGACCGGGTCTCCCTGGGACATCGACCCATGTACCCTAAGAATGGGATGACCAAAATCCCTTCACGTATTCCCCAAGCACGGAAACGGGACCCTAAAGCTCCAAAGGGGACTCGCTCTGCACTGTGCCCTGTCATCCCAGGGCTGCAGTTTTACTCAGTCCCACCAGAGAGCAACCTTCCTGTACTGATGCTCCCACCTGACCAAGCCTGTGGGCTCCCAGCACCCACCACGTCTGGGCCCTGGGCTGGGCTGGGCCGAGCCAACTCTGGAAGCTTTGGTGGCTCGGTGAAATGCCCCGGCCTCTGAAATGCTTCCTGCTTTAAAACCCTGTGGAGAAGTCGTGTTGAAATGTCAGTGAGATGACTTGGAAGGAAGGCAGGCTGAGGAGCATTCTTTGACCTCTCAAAATAAAACGGACACGAGAGATGCTGAGGTGAGCGTCTCCTTCCTTCCCTGCCACCCGCAGCTGTGACAGCATCCAGCTGAGTTCGCAGAACAGAGAACTCGCCACCGCCACTCCCCAACCCAACCCCCAGCCCTGAAGGGAACCAGGAGTGACCTCTGCCTCCATGGCCTTGTCCTTTCTTGCCCTGTGGTGGCAGAGCTAAGGGTAGACTTTGTCTTGGGATGACTCAGGGACGTGACCGAGCATTCACCTGACCCCCATGCCACACCAGGCCAAGATAGGGAGTGTGAAGCTTCCCCAGAAAGTTACTTTAGGAGATTGAACCCCCTTTGGGATCAGTGAGCTTTCACAGTCGGCAAGTCAGACTAATCAAAGGCATCCACTCCCACGGAACCACATTGAAATGCCTTACACATACTGCAGATGTCTAGACCAGTGCTGCGGGGACGGTAACAGACACTTCATCAGAGTCTGGAATAAGTGTTTTCCTTCTAGAATAAGCCGGGGAGCTGGTTAGTGCCTCACTTTTCGCCAGAGCCCCTCTGTCTCACTTCTCTGTCTCCCCCACCCTCACCCCAGTTGGATTAAGTCCTGTTTGCTTGTCTGCAACCTTGCTCTGTGTGAGCCTCCCTTGCCTTCCCCGGGCCTGTCAAAGAACCATGCTCTACACTGGGGACAGAAAAAAGGATGCACATCCTCTTCTCTGGCTGGGTCTCTGAACCCCACCTCCCATTCTGTCGAAAGCCCCTAAGCCCAAGCCCTCTGCCATTGAGTTGATTCCAAATCAGAGTGACCCTCCATCGGATCTTTGAAGCGGTAGATCTTTATAAGAACAGGCAGCCTCCTCGTTCTCCCACACCAGAGTGCCGGTGGGCTTGAACCACCAGCCTCGTCATGCTTCCCAGGCAGCACCACCAGGGGCCTCATTCTAAGGAGGGTCAAATGTGGGACAGGTGGGTGTCTTACGGTCCCTCCTGGAAACATAGGTGCGAATACCTGGAATTGTTTCGGTCTTGTCTGAAACTGGTCTGTGAATGCCTTTGAGCACTAACACACCTGCTCCTGCGCTCCTGCACTCCTCCTTTGAATGCCCCAAGACAGGGAAGCCCTGGACAGCACCGCTGGAACACGCAGTGTGTGTGCAGAATGAAGGTGGAACACCAGAGGCCGCCAAGGTGCCTCCCACTCATGACCACCCCTGTGTCAGAGGCGATCGGCTCCGCAGGGCCTTCCGAGGGCCCAGCTTTCTCCCGAGGCACCTCTGGGTGGGTTTGCATCACTGGCCTTTCAGGGAGCAGCCCAGTGCTGAAAAGAAGGACACTTCCATTTCAATATGAATATGTACATTGGAGAGGGCTTCAAAACAGCTGTGGGGAAATCCCATGATCTTTTCATTCCGTTTTCCAGGAACTTTTTGAAGCCTGATATATGCACACCCACTACGGAGCTCCAGAAAGTGATACAGATTTAATCTATAGGTCTATAACGGAGCTCCAGAAAGCGATACAGATTTAATCTATAGGTCTATATATACATACACACATATACATACACACACATACAAGTATGCGCACGCACACACAAGGGGCTTCAGAAAGTTCGTGAAACATGGATTTCCGCCCCCCTCGTATAGAATATGCCCATGCGGCGTAGCTACAAGCGTCGGGAAAAGAGCCCCCCAGGAGCAGAACGACAGTGTGGGTCCTGTGCAAATGCCTTTATTATTACAGGGCTGAGGGGCACGGTATCATGACCACGTCTGAAGCTCCATGCCGACACAGCCCGCGTCTGTTGGGAGGGGAGCTCTCGCAGCGTCTCGGAAAGGGCGAGGTCGAAGGGGTGGGAGCAAGGGGCCAAGGCGTGAAGGTAGTCCAGGGGTGGGGAGCAGGGAAGGAAGAGAACAGCCCTGGGATCGCGAGAAGGGGCAGGCGGTCCTCTGGATGCAGCCCGGGGGTCCAGAAGCAGCGTGCTGCGGACCTGAAAACAAAGCCAGAGGTTATGGCCCAGCCCTCCCTGAGGAGACGGGCCTCTGTGAAGGAGCAGGGAAAAGAGAAGTCCCCCCCACCCCATCCCCGGGACCCTTGCCGTTGCTAACGCAGCTTGCGTGGCTTCAGGGCCACGCGGATGGAGCAGAAGGACCCTAACATTCCCGAGGCTGCGCGCTCTGTGGAAGCTGATCGCCGGGTCTCCTCGCCCCCACCCGCCCACTCGCTAACCCATTCGGTTCTCCTTCCCACCCAGTGGACAAGGTTCCAGCTATAGCTTAGAGCCCCGCTTGAAATCCAGGACAGAACTCTGTCACGACAGGTGCTTGCACCTTCCCTACTGCCAGACCAGTCGTGATAAACCCCCTGGGGGTGGGAGTGGGGTGTGCAGACAGGGCAGCAAAGTGCACAGCATCCCGGCATCCTCGGGAGGCAGGGACACACACGTCCTTCCCAGGGTGCCAGGGCCGGAGCTCTCCCAGCCTCCGCAGGTCCCCTCTCTTCTCAGAAGCCCTTCCCGAGGAAGAACAAGCCCAGTCTCTTTCTCACATGAATGAAACGTGGTGACAGCTTGTCCCCACGGAAACACAATGAGCTGTGTTGGTCCATTCCATCTAATCTCCTGGGAGTGCCAACTCCCGGAAACCCGATTCGTACCCTGCCTGGCACCTAAGAGGTTGTAAAATGTGCTGTTGATGTGGATGACGATGATGGTGGTGAAATGATAAAGGCTGCAATTATGGGTCTGATCCCTCTGAAAGAGCTGGATTCACCAACAAGCATTAAAAGCGGGTTTCTACAATGCGCTTGTTTCTACCATTTGTATAAAATACTGTGGCAAAATTGCACTGTAATTATCTTTACGGCCGGTGCATAACGCTGGGGGAGAGTATGTCATCCAGAGGTGGCTGCCCGTATAATTATCTGGCCGTCGGCAGAACTGAAATAACCATCTAATGAGAGCAAAATGATACAGTGAGTACCATGTAATCAGCGAGTTACGATTATTACGGCTCTTTGTGGCCTCTCACCCAGCGCTGAATGGGAGACCAGCCCCAGCCTCCGCTCCCCGGGCGTCATCTCAGGCAGTATCATCAGGAACCAGCCCTTGGGCCTGGGGCTGTCCACCCAGTGACCACTGAGTGTGGGCGGCAGGGACCCCGGGAAAGGAATAGGGCTCTCGCGCTGCGATAATTGCGTGCTCCCAGTCCCTCGCCTTTCTGCTGTCCGCGTTTCCTTTCTTCAGAAAGGCGCCAGTGGAGTTGCTATTGCTGTGTGTGGGCAGATGGTGTCGAGGCGGAAGCTTCCATGTTTTGACTAGACACTTCCCTGGGGATGCTCACAGCAGCGGATCAAGTGAGAGATCAGTCGGACCACTCACCCCCAGGGTCCAGTCCAAACGGCTCTAGGCAGGCAGACCAGAGCCGGTGGGAGAAACACGAGGGCACCCCCACTCCCACCACCCCCCTACTTCCCAGACCAGAACAATCATGAGAAAGCGGTGGCACTGTTGTGAGCACTTTGCCTACCCCCAATCTTCCAACCACAACCCTGCAAGGCTCCTCTAGCACCCTCTATTCTTCAGGGGAAGAAATGGGGGAAAGGCACAGAGAGGGTGTGCAACTCGAGCAAGGTCACACAGCTAGTGAGCGCCAGATCCAGGATTCAAACTCAAGGCATGCTCTTAACACACCACGGAGCAACTCAGACGGGGTTCCCAGCGAGACCCCATTAGCTGTCTGAGCTCCTTCTATTTCTTTCTAATCACTCCTGGTGGGACTACACAGAGACATTGGGTCAGGCAGCCCTGGAGCCTGGACGCTTTGAGTGCGCAAATGATTCCCTTGTGCACTGGATTATAATGATCAGACAAGCTTTCCAGCTTCTACACAGATCCGCAGAGATCTGAAGAACTAACGGTGCCCGTCAGAAAAGCCCCAGAGGAAGCCTGTCCCACCTGCCCACGCCCCACCTTCCACCCCTCACTCCTGCTCACGACACAGGGAAAGAGATGAAAGAGAAGCGTGTGTGTGCGCCTGCAGCATCCAAGGAACTGACCCCCAGGCAGTCTCCACCACCCCACAGACACCTCCCAGCCCCCTCCCCACAGCCTTCCGTACCTCACTCTGCCTTGCTGGGATACTTGGGGTTCCCAGAGCTGGGGACGCCCTCTCGGTTTGCATCAAAAGGAGTGTCTGGGATGAAGTAAACAGTAGTTAGGAGGGATTTTTCAGAATGCAACCTTCACTCTGACCTGTACCAGTGAGGGGGCCTGGCTCTGGTGGGTACCATGAGAAGACGGAGTCGGGAAGAAGGCACGCTCCAGCCCCTGGCCCAAGTGCAGCGTAGCCAGGCCATCAGGGAGGGCTGGATGGTGGCTGCTAGAGGACTGGGCAGAAGAGGCCCAGGGACCCTCACTATAGGTAAAACACACTCTGTCTTTCCCTCTGGGGATAAATATGGGGCATCTGGCCCCTGTGAGATCTTCCCCAGGATCCCCCACCTCTCTCTCTCTCTCTCTCTCTCTCCCTCTCCACCTCTCCACACGCCTACCTGGCTGGCTGTTCCGCTTGCCCATGAGGCCCACAAAGAAGTCGTGCATGTCACCTGCAGAAAAAGGGTCCCATTGCTAACAATGATGCACACCCACACAACTGTGTGGAGACTTTGGGGACTGGGTTTCTGGTCGGGTTTTTTTTCTTATCACATTTGGCAAGCATATTTCCTAGACCCTCCCAAAACCCCACACACACCCCACTCCCACCCGGTCTTCCACATTTCATGAACTCTCTTGCCCCAGAGGGTGCCTGTCTTGGAATCTTGGCCGAAACTGAACATGTGTCTGCTGAGACACCCTTAGTTCCCAGGGGAGGAGGGTCCCCAGGCATGGCCCCCACTACCTGCTTCCCCTTAGTGGCTAGGGCCCCTCGGTTCAGGTAGAGGAGGGCTGGCTGAGGGGGCACAGGTAGCTGTGGAGATGGGCACTGAGCCCCGAGCCCTCAAAGGGAGCTCCAGGCAAGTGGTCAGCAGAGATAGGGAGGGCGAAGGGGCTACTCACGCTTCTGGAAAAGGGACAATTTCTTAGGACCTGGGAAACCAAGAACAAGCATATACATTGGGGGGCTTGAATCTGGAAAATGAGGGTTAGAAGGGTCCAAATCACAACCCTCCACTATCCACTAAACCATCCCCAATTCCCCGCCACCTGTTCCCCACCCTGATTCCATCCTCCACATCCTGGCCCCCATGGCCCTCTCCCCTGGAGCCTGCTGCTTACCCACACTGGCGCTGCTCAGTATTTTGAGCAGCCCTTCCAGCGAGACTGTCTGGCTGTCTACGAGTTTCTGGAGTAAGGATGGGGGCAGGTGGTGGAGATTCGGATCTTTCTGGGGGAGAGAAGTAAAGAGGGCTGAGAACAAGAAACCGCCTGGGCCCAAGCTCCCCGAGACTGGACCCAGCATCCTCCTGATTTCAGGGTTCCCTCTGGCTTCCAGGGACATGCAGAGTGTGGTCTGTGGGCAGCAGCAGCATCGTGGGGAGCCTGTTCGAGATGCCTCATTTCAGCCTCACCGTGGGCCTATTGAAAGAGAATCTGCGTTTGTCATAAGATGCTCCGGTGATTCATGTGGTCACTCAGGTTTGCACAGCAATGGTGGGTGGGGGCAGAGGCCCCCAGCATTCTACCCATCTCTGGCCCAGACCCGAATGTCAGTGACCAGGAATGGAGGCAGGGGTTGAGGTGTTGGGGGGAGGCGGGAGGGTGTCTGACCTGACACAGGCAGCAGCAGATGTGGCTCCTTAGCCCTGACTCAGGCTAGACTCTTGCTGTGGGTTCAGCTCCATCAGAGCTGAGGGAAGAGGGCCGCAGGGTGCTCCCCAGAAGGCTGCCTAGCTACCCAGGTGCCCAGTTCTGAGGGGCTTCATGTTGAAGGATGTGGCTATCCTACCCCCACCCTCACCCACCCCAAAAGGCCCACTGAGGATCGAGAAAGGCCCAGCAGATTGAGTGCATGCGCCCTGGTCCATGACTGAGAGTGGGCAGCCAGGGGGTTCTCTACCCCCTCCCCTACTATCCCTCACATTCTTGTCTTTGCGTGGGTCTCTAACTCCAGGTCCCTGTTCGCCACCCCCCGCCCCTCACCCTGCCTCCCACTTTTTCCCTGGATCTGACATATCAGGAAGGGGGCATACTCAAATTTGCCTCTTCTCCTCCTCCCACTCCTGCAGCTGAACCCCAGATCCCAGAGTTGTTGCCAAGCACGAGCTTTTCATTGTCCTTGTGTTTGGGGGGGGGGGTTTGGTTTGGCTTGTTTTTTTAGCCAACTTTGAGCACAGCAGAATGGTGGGCACACGGTACACACTCCGTCACTGGCAGCTGCACAGAGACCATCCGAGTGATCACCTTCGGAAAGCCTCACCTTGGATTGCCATGGTGCCCCTCACTCCAAGCCCAGGTGGCTTTGGGCCGCTGTGTAAACAGAGTCCCACAGGACGCACCCCGAGCCACACCACTCAGTGGAAGGGACGCTGTGGCAAATCGTTGACCTGCCTCCAGACCCAGTTCCCTCCATCCTCAAAGACCCAGGGGAAGAGGGACCCACAGCGTGGTCCTGCACCCTGGCGACCCATCTCCTCACCCCAGGCCTGGCAGCAAGGATGTGTCACAAGAACCCAGGTGCTGCTCTCGCGGCTCAATCTGGCACTCAGTTGCTCTGCTCACAGCGCCCAGCTCCTACTTGGCATCATTGCCAGTGTTGTTTCCAGCCAGAGCCCTGGTGACGTAACGGTTACACGTCGGGCTGCTGCCCACCAGGTCAGCAGTTCGAAACACCAGCCCCTCCTCAGGAGAAAGATGAGGCTTTCTATACTCCCAGAAAGAGTTGCCGTCTGGGAAACTTACCTGCTGTGGCAGTTCTGTGCTGTCCTTTAGGGTCACTGTGAATCAGCATCGACTCAATGACAGTGAGATTGGTTTTTAGTTTGGGGTGTCTGCCTCTTGTGCCCTAACATGCTTCCTCAGCTGGGTGGCTCTCTCTGCCCAGCACAGGGCTCCTCAGACAGTCGCTTTCCCCCAAATGCTCAAATCCTCTGCCCACCTCCTATAATGAGATGCTAAACAGATCTGAGCCAGAGAGGCAGTTGGACTTCACACACGGAATTTGTAATAAGTCCCACCGGTAGTCATCGTAAAAGCCTTTGTACCAATGTAATGACTATCATTCCCAAACCTAGCAGAGACTCCCTCCCTGCTCTTCCATACCCCTACCCTTCCCCGAGAAGAACTTTGGAAATCAGTGCTCAACTGGTTCCCCCACTGCCCCTTTCCTAAGGCAGTGAGGCTAGAGGTGGGCAGCAGAGAGGAGGGAAGATGAGAAAGAGGCTGGGATGCTCGGAGCACTGGTGTTGGATGGGGCAGCTGAGCAGAGGCTACGGGGATTTCTCTGTGTTTGAAAATAAAATAAGGCCTAGGTGCTGAGAGGAGGGATCACCTGCAAATAAGCATTTGGGAAAGAAAGCCCGGCCGTATTTCCTACCACCCAGAGCTGCACCACCTTGCCCAGGGACAGAGCTGGGCTGGGCTGTAGAGAAGCTTGGACCACCTTCGTTCATGCCTGGAAGCTGCCCCAGCCCCAAGGAAGCCGTCAGTTATGAAACAAGCAGCCTATTTGCAGGGCATCGTTCCCATCCCGTCGCCATCGGCTTGGCGGGGTCCACATTCTGAGCGACATTGCAGGACAGAGTCTGGTTCCAAGGCTGTCTGTCATCTAGACAGACACCAGCCAGTGAGTTCACGCCGCTGATCTGTCCGCAGCAGCTGAGTGCTTTAACCACTGTGCCATCGGGACACACACACACACACACACACACACACACAGAAGACAGTTAGGGACCAGCCCCAGAGACAGTGAGGTCACAAGACCATGCAGGAGACAACGGAATTCCAAAGGATGGCCGAATCCCCTTAAATCAACAGCCCCTGCTTCCTTCCATCAGTTTTCCCCAAGTGCCCAGGCAGGTCTCCCCGTCGTCTGCCAGACTGGGGACAATAGGGGGCGCCTCACCTTGCCGAGGGCCCTGCCGGGCACCTGTGCCTCCTCACAGACAGCCAAGTCGCTCTGGAGCAGGCTGAGGGCCAGGATGGCTGCAAGCAGCAGGGAGCTCCGCATGGTGCCTGGGAGCGCAGAGAGAGGGAGAGGCAGGCAGGGCCCTCTGCCCACGGAGACCCCAGCCCACAGCTCTCCAGCTGTCAAGAGACCTCGGCACAGGGCTGACAGCCCTTGGTCTCTGTGCCCCACTCCCCATCAGACCCGCACCTGGCAGTGACGCCCAAGGACCTGGGGCACCCAAAGAAGAGGTTGCGACATGCACTATTGCCTTCATTGGTTGGAGGAGAGACCTGAAAGGCTCTCTTCCAGCACCAGGTGACCCCAAAACCTAAGCCAGAAAACTTTCTAGCATAGAAGAATCAGCCTGGACCCACAGGTTCCAAACATGAACCCTGTTCACCTTCTCGGTGCCCTGTCACCGCCTCACTCCCTCCAGACTCTGGCCTCTGCCCCTAGGCCCCAGCTCCCACCCCAACCAACAGTCCTCCCACTCCCTGTCCCTCACTGGGCAATGCCTACCTGCAGGGCGGCTTTGAGCCTGGGCAGACGGCCTGGCCTGGCTGGATCTGAGAGCTGGCTGCGAGCTGGGAGCGGGGAGCTGGGAACACAGCCCACTCCCCACACTCGGAGATCAGTGGAGGGGGTTCTGGGAATGTGGCAGGAACTCAGTCCCGCTCTCTGATAAAGGCTCTGGGAGGGTCTGGGGGAGGCGAGGGGAGGGGCTGAGAGTCACCAATCCCAGGGTGGCTGGAAGGGAGGGGGAAGGTAGGGAGAGGAGACGGAGTCTGTAGCCCAGACGTACACAGACACACACACATGCACACACACACACACACACACACACACACACACACACTCCACAGAAACAGCCCTGAGCTCAAGTCGCCCAGCATCCACTTTGCACCAGCACCTGAACCTCACACATGCAGGAACGCGGTGTGTTTTTCACAAATTTCCTGAGCCAGGTCTGGCACAATGGGTGTGAGCCCCAGGTCTCTTTCCCCTGGTGGTCATCCATCCGCCAGCCCTTGCCTTTCAGATGGACTTCACCTCACGTCCTTTGGATGTGCTACCGGGAGGGACCGTTATCACACAGCCAGGGGTCCCCAGAGAGCCTGTCCTCAACCGTAGCCCCAGACAGAGACCAGGTGGGTTTGAGGCATTCCGAGCGTCTTCCTGCAAGTGCTTGCGGAAGGAAAAACAGCCAGGTTTCTCCTGTTTCAGAGTTCAATCCTGAGCCCACACGTTCCTGTGCCAGAAATGGGTTTTTCACAGCGATTAAAAGAGACTCATAGGGTGTTTTTTGTTTTGTTTTTTTACAATGTCACAAGATGTGGTAGATGCTCTAAGAACACAGGTTCTACAATGATCGTCAGGAAATTATCCAGACCTACATTTCTCCAGGGGCCATGAGATCACCATCCCTGAAGCTCCATGCACCCTTGTCTGGCTGCTTCTTGTCTTTGGCCTTCTGTGCCTCCTTCCTGAGATGGAATTGTTCCAGTCAGGGAGGGGACTGTCACATTTCAGATTTTTAACACATGGAATTTTAGATTATGTAATACTTCTAGGATTGATTTTCCCTCTATCAAAACCAGTCTCTGCGGGAAAGGGACATTGTGCTTGGGAGCGGGGCGGTGGGAAACAAAAGGAAAACCCTCCACAGATGGATCGAGACAGTGGCTGCCACGAGGGACTCACACACAGGCAGGGTTGTGAGGATGGCATGGGAGCAGATCACCGCACACACGCTGGCTACGAGTCAGAACCTGCTGTACATGACAGCTGGCTCCTAGGCAGTAACAGCCAGGCCACAACACTGGGGGTGAGGTTCTCTCTGCACCTTCCACCACCTAGAGCAGTGAGTGGTTCTCAACCTGTGGGTCGTGACCCATTCGGGGGTCAAACAACCCTTTCACAGGGGTCGCCTAAGACCATCAGACTCCGTCTCCTCTCCCTACCTTCCCCCTCCCTTCCAGCCACCCTGGGATTGGTGACTCTCAGCCCCTCCCCTCGCCTCCCCCAGACCCTCCCAGAGCCTTTATCATATTTCCAATGATCTTAGGAACTGAAACACCACCCTTGATGGGTCTCCAGGCAGATCCGTCCACATGCAGATACGCCCACATTCAAGTGGCTGGCGTGAAGACTGTTACCCATGCTACATCATGCTTCAAGACAACATTTCATTTATTTGTCATTAGAAATAAATATTTCGCAATAGATAATTACACATTGTTTTTGTGATTCATCCCTATGCTTTCATTATGTTCCATTTGTAACAATGAATATCCATCCTACATATCAGATATTTACATGATAATGCATAACAGTAGCAAAATGACAGTTATGAAGTAGCGACGAAAATAATGTTCTGGTTGGGGGTCACCAACACATGAGGAACTGTGTTAAAGGGTGGAAGCATTAGGAAGGCGGAGAACCACTGCCTTAGAGGCAGACGCAGACCCCTGAGGATTGGGACGCCATCCATCGCCCAGGCCTCACTTCTCTAGCTAGCTGTCCTGCTCCACACAGAAAGCCAGGGCGGCCCCATCCGAGCCAGCCGTCTGCCTCCCTCCGGCTCCTCCTGCCTTAACTGTCTCCTCCAGGCCTCCCCACCCACTGCTTTCTGACCCAAGTCAACCTGACTTAGTTCCCTTTGTCCGGAGCTCTAACTTCTCTCCCTCCTGCCGGCACAGCCCAAGAGGGGAACAGCACTCGAGGGCTGAGCTGTTCCTGCCCCACCGGCCCCAGCATTGATCTCGTAATTGCCATTTCCTTCTTCCCTCGCTACTCGTTTCCACTCTAATCTGTCTCCCTGCAGCTCAGCCGCTCCTCCCCTGACCTCCCCAGCTGCTGGCCACGCCCCATACAGTTGAGGGGCCTTCGTCTGCAGGTTTCACACAAAAGGCAGAGAGCCTCAGGCCAGAGACAACACGCAGAGATTACAAGAGGCTGAGAGGCTAAAGATGCAAAGTGAAAGATGTATCGGGATGATTAGTCCTTCCCAAGGAGGAAGGGCCTGGGGCTTGAATCTTTGCAAGGTGCTTTGGCAGAGCAGGATCCATTTCACTTTCACTACCAGGCATGCAGGAAAGATTCCTATTTTGCAGATGAGGAAACGCAGGCTTAGAAGGTGCCGTGACTTACTCTGGGACATGTAGCCACAGAGTCAAGTTGATCTCATTTCAAATCTCGGTTCTTTGGTTCTTTTAGATGCACTGTTCTGGACTTTGATCTAGAGAGGGAACAAAGCTAGTGGGTGATCCAACTGTCCAAGAGACTTGGAGATTTGAGACCTTCTTATACTCCTCTGGGGAAGGAGGGTGGGTGGCTCAGTGACCATTTGCTTGGTTGTAATCCGAAAGGTCAGCAGTTCAAAACCACCAGCCAGCTCTACGGCAGAAAGAATTGGGGCTGTCTCCTCCTGTAAAGCGTTAGTCTGGGAACCTCACAGGGGCAATTCTGCCCTGCCCTCTAGGGGTCACTGTGCGTCAGCACTGACTCCGTGGCAACAAGCTTGACCTTTGGTTTTTACTCTCCTATAAGGAGTCCTGGTGATGGAGTGTTTACACGTTGGGCTGCTGACCGCAACGTCAGCAGTTCAAAAGCCCCTGCTGCTCCACAGGCGAAAGATGAGGCTGTCAACTCCTGCTCCTTACAGTCTCAGAAAACTCAGGGGCAGGTGTACGCTGTCCTATAGGGTCTCTATGAGTCAGAATCAACTCAATGGCAGCGAGTTGGGGTTTGGGTAGTCTTCTATAAAGGAACTCAGGTGGGGTAATGGGTTACACTGCTAACCACAGGGTTAGCGGTTCAAACCCATCTGTTGCTCTCAGGAAGAAAGATGAGGGTGTCTACTTCCATGATGATTTATAGCCTTGGAAACCCACAGGGGCAGTTTTACTCTGTCCTGGAGGGCCACTATGCGTCAGACGCGACTCGATGGCAGTGAGTCTCCACTCATCTCTAATTTCAGATGGGGAGCAAGCCTTATCGCTGTTGTGTGTTGACTACACAGACTTGTGCTGAGGCCTCCCCCAGTCACCCTATTTTAACTGTCCATCAATACTCGTTCCACATGCCCCTCCTGATTTTTTGTTTAAGCCAATCAACCAAACCCACTACCCTTTGAGTCTATTCTACCCCTCTAGGAGCGAGTAGAACTGGCTCACAGTTTCCAAGACTATAGCTCTTGTCGAGGAAGACTGACGTAGCTTTCTCCTTGGCCCAGTTTGGGTTCACTGCCCGGTCGCAGCACTTCCCTTTGTCATCTCTCCCTGCCGTCCAGGTGATTCAGACACACGGGGACCCTGTAGACAGAGGCACACTGCCCCGTGAGAGAAAGCTCCATCGTTCTCTCCCGGAGAAGCTGGTGGTTTGGAACTGCTGACTGATAGCAGCACTTGTAGCCCCATACCACCAGCACTCCTTTTCACTTTCACCACACTTACTGCCATCAGGTCGGTTCTGACGCGCAGTGACCCTGCAGCACAGGGCAGAGCTGCCCCTGTGCACTCACAAGACTGTAACTCTTTGTGGGAGTAGAGAGTCTTGTCTTCCTCCCCAGAGCAGCGGGTGGTTTTGAACCAACAGCCTTGGAGTTGGCAGCCCAAGGCATAGCCGCTATGCCACCAAGCCTCCTTCATGGCATGCATTCAATACCATGATAACTACTTTCCATATGATTGTCTTGCCTCTCCTACTAGAAGGTTAACTAGAGTTTCACGAGGGCAAGGGCTCTCCGTCCGTTCTCCTTGCTGTTGTCTCCCTAGCCCTGTGGGGTTTGCGTGTAATACATGCTCAAGAAATATTGATTTCTAAAACAAAAAAGGGAGACAGAGCCGTGCTTCTGGTATCACGTTCCCAAACAGCGATGATACTCCATGGCTCCTGCCACGTTTGTCACCTGCACCATCTGCCCCCACCCTCATCCCCCACCCAAGCACACGCGAGCACACACACACACACACACACATTTCCAAGGACTGAACCATATATTGAAAGAAGTTCCCTCAGGGTAAGGCCAGCAGCTGGGTCTCAAGGCCACTTTATTATTTGAGAAGTCGATGGGGCCTCCTTAAAAGCTCTCCATTACCCAGCTAATCATAAGCAGCGGGTAGGAGCCAGGACTCAGGGTTGGGAGGCTTAGTGGGGGCAAAGAGGGGGAAGTCCTTTACATACAAAGAGTTTGGTTAGTTCAGCCTTCAGAAGCCCACGTGCTGTTCCTACTGGGATCCCACCCGCTCTCCTTCCCCAACTCCCACTCAGAGAAGGAAGCTGCAGGTGAGAGATGAAGGGAGGTGCCTGCCAGCAGGAGGGGTGTGTTGGGGAGCAGTTAGGTGAGGGCTGAGGACTATCTCTTCCTCAACACCACCCCCCTCCACACACACACACACCGGTGCATCCCTGCCCCCAAGCTCAGGCACCCGGGAAGCAAGACTTCTGCAAAGGTCCACCATGAATAATGTCCTTTGATGATGCAGCAGCTCACAGAGGATAGCTGGAGCCAAGGATGCGGGGAGAGAGGGGATGGCAGAGAGAACTGATCACCCCTTGATCCCTGGGATTAGCAAAGACTTAAAAGAACCAACGCTAAACTAAACAAGAGCCGTGACCTAGCTTTTTGCCACTAAATATATGCGCCTTTGGTG